AAGTTGCTTTTGGAATTGGAAGAACTCTCTGCAGCTTCTAGAAAGTTACTGTTCATAAGACAAAACAAAGATGGACATGCAGGAAACGCGAATGCTATAGGAATTCCGATCTCAGCAGTTATAAGAAAAAACATAAAACGTAGGTTACAATGACCATAATTATTTGAGGCGAGGCTTACTACATAACATCATTCCTTTTTAACATCGAAAATACTCAAGTTAGATATCGAGAGAATTAAGGGTAAATAGATTTTGGAGGTGTACGATATTATGCTAATGCACTAATAACACAAAAACAGTTAACAAATCACACCATACACTACATAACCATTTGTTGCACTAATATCGTAGCGTCACATGATTAGTATTTAAGCAGTATAATTCCATCAGTCTGTTGTGATATCATCTCTTCCTTTACAGACTGGGACTGGTGGAATGAAGAGCATGGTAGTCACATGGTCGGGAGATCTCGGAATATTATTACTAATCACCTCTAATTATCATCATCAATATAACCCAAATATAACACAAATCCAAATTTGAAGTACCGGATTTACCTACAGGCTTAGCAGGCTGAAGCTTAGAGCCTCATAATCTGAGGAGCCTCCAGCCAAGGTGTACATTGTTTTTTGATGCTTTCATAGTGGCGAGTTAGCCACTACCCTGAGCATGGGTATGGGACAAGGTAAGCAAGATCGCTATAAAGAGCAATTTACCAAGTAAATAACTTCTCTGAAGATAGATGGCATAATCCTCACAGACAATGAAGAAGAGCTAGCTAAATCCATGGCAGAGATCCCTGGAGCATCTTACACCGCCTGATTCCCCACCCTTCGGGCTGATCAGGGACGACGGCCAGTATCGTTCTTCAGTTCTGCAGCTGAACTTCCATACAGGTTACTATTGTTGCACAGGGAAATGGACTATGCTTTGCAGCTCTGCCCTAGCAAGTAATGATAACTCATACTAAATGATATCTCACTTATCAGAGAGCACCCAAGAGCTCCTGTTGGACCTATTCAATAGGATATTTAGGGAGAGCACAGTGCCATCCACATGGAAATAATCTATATCATTCCAGGTAAAGATGCTTCCATACCAGGGACTTACAGACCTCTTACCAACCGCACCTGCAAGCAGTGGGCAACATACCATGAGTTCAGATTTGTGTGTGCCCGATTCTTAACCATTTTAACACATCTACTTGTTGGTTGGGATAGACGCTGGTCAGCCAACTGCTAAGATCATCTCTAATCTCTTGCAGTTTGTTTCTAGAGATATGCCTCTATTGCTCCCTCCATTTATTGCGAAAAAAACTTCTGATGCTGGGTTTCAAGTCGGCATGTGGAGGAAAACGAGCATCAGCGGGCTGAGCGGCAGCTGTCTTGGCCCTCCAATCAGCTCAACTCATTCCTACTGATACCAACATGCACTGGCACCCAATACGAAGTTATTTTCTTATGTGCTGACATCAGTGCAAACTTGAACTTCCCTCACCATTGGATGTGATGAGTTTAAGCTCTTGCAATGTACTACTAGAATCTCAATATATTACAATAGAATGGTTGCTGAGATTTCTAGTCAATCAGGTCAATATTGGAGAATGTCCCAGTTTCAATTTGGAAAGGTGTGGGCATGTTACTGTTCAGAGAAAAAAAAAACTGTTTCTATAGGTCTAAGTTATCTAAGGCCTGCAATAGGAAGGCCTAAAAGAGAATACTCCTCCATGAGGTAAATCAAAAGAAAAAAATCATGCCTGAAGAAATGGCGTTTCAACCAAGTATTACTATTCATATATAGACGAAAAGTTATTCATTATCTCTCTCTCTCTCTCTCTCTCTCTCTCTATATATATATATATATATATATATATATATGTATATATATATATATATATATATATATATATATATATATATATACATATATATATATATATATATATATATATATATATACATATATATATATATATATATATATATATATATGTATATATATATATATATATATATATACATATATATATATATATATATATATATATGATACAAGCGTACTCGTGTTTCATTAGAGGACATGTGTGTGTGTGTGTGTGTGTGTGTGTGTGTGTGTAAAAACTTTTTTTTTTCATTATTGAGGGTTATATTTGCAGTTTCAATATCCCAATACTTATTAGAATACATATTGATGAATTTTGTCAAACATCTTGAAATTGTGAAAACTTGTTTCGTTATTACTAAGAATAAAAGTTAATAGCAACTCGATAAAGTTGATGACGTTATTACGTATCAATATATAATAGGTAGGATTAATTACCTCATTCTGCGTATGTGAAGGATTAGTATTTGAACTTGAAAGTTAATGCTAGTCCAGAGGTGTATCAAAAGTTGATCCTGGACGC